GTCAGCCAGCAGGAGGGTGAGTTCCTCCTGCTTGTTACACTTCACGTTGACCTGCACCCAGTGCCAGATGTTCCTTCCAGATCAGATGGGATTCTGCATGATCCTCCTGGCTTTTTCCATTGATGTTGAATGACTTCATATAATCTTTGCACACACCACGGTACTGCCACCGAGGGCGACCTCACTTTCTAGAGCTGTCCCAAATCTCGCTATACAAAATATTCTTGGGGACACTGTCTCCTCTCATTCTCCTGACATGGTCAATCCATCACAATCTCTTCTTCTTGATCGTGGTTTCTAAGTGTCAGTCCTGAATGCTCCAGTATATCACAGTGTTTGATATTTTGTCTTTCCATTTTATTTTCAGGATCTTATGCAGACATCTCATGTGGAAGCTGTTCTGTCTCTTGGATGTACCTAGCATATGTAGTCCACGTTTCTGAACCATAAAGCAGGGATGACAATACAAATGTCTCATAGATTCCTATCTTCACCTTAGCTTGACAGTTTGCTGTTATTTCAGGCTTGTTTCTACAAGCTGAAATTCTTAGCTGCTTTTCCAATTCTGTTCATCAGTTCAGTCTGATGGTCAAGACTCCCACTGATCATAGAACCCAAATAGCAAAAACCTTCAACGACACAAAGACATTTATCCTCCAGAACAATGTCAGATATTGGTTCTTCCACCCTTGGTACACGACCACAGTCTTCTTGAGACTAACTGCCATAGTGAAGCTTTTACATGACTCAGAAAACCTGCCACATCTGCAAACAGGAAGTCTCTCAGAACCATTTCTTTTACCTTGGTTTTCACTCTAAACCTTGTGATTTTGAACAAGCCTCCATCTAGCTGGGTTCAAAGATAAATGTCATCAATGCTGTCCTTGAATGCATAAAGAACTAAGAATGAAAAGTAAATGTTAAAAAGTATGGAGGCTAAGACACACCCCTGCTTCACCTTGGTGTTAATGTTAAAGGTGTTTCACTTGTTTTTATACACTACAGTTGCCCTCATACTCAGCCCCTCATCA